GGCTGGCGCGCGAGTGCGTGTCCCCTCTGGGGACGCGTGGCGGCGGGTAGCGGTGCCCCGCTGTGTCCGTGCGCCGCCCTGTCTGTGTGTCCTTGTCTGAGCGTATCAGGCCTGCGTCTGCCATTCTCCCAGGTCTGTGAGTGCCCGACTGCGGGGATGTGGGTGCTCATGTGTCGGGGTGTCCGTGCGGTGCCCGGGGTCCATGCCCCGGGTCGCCGCGCCCCTCTTGGGGTCTCGACCCGAGCCTGCGCACACGCGGGCACCCCCGCTCCCTAGACTCCCAAACCATGAATGGGGTTTGCCTGTGGGGGCGACTCCATGGCCCTTTAATGGGTCCAGGGTCTCTCCGGCCTCTGCCCCTTACCACCACCATCTCCGCCTTCCCCCGCCCCCGATCGCCCCGGAGCCCAGACAATGCTGTCACTGCCAAAGCAGGGGAAAATAATAAAGCACAGAACCGTTAACTCTTTCCCTGCCGGCCTCGGCCTCTGCGACCGACCCTGCACGTACCACCCCTGCCCTGGTCCCCCAAAACAAGCCCCAGGAAGCTCCAGGACTCCAAGATCTCCTCGATGAGTGTCCCTGCATCCCAAGGCCTGTGTCCTCACCTTGGAAGGCATAAGAAGGTTGGGTTGATGGAGCAACCCCAAGGGAGGGCCTACTACTACTCCAGGCTCTCAGCGCCAACCTCCTCCCCATGATTGCCCAAGGTCAGGATGGAGCGGGCCACCAATTTCTGGCCTGCCACTGGCTTACCAGGTGGGGATGCTGAGGCCTGGGGATGGCTCAAGGTCATTAAGTAGTCTGTTGGACGCTGTCCCTAACCTCACCCCTCACTGTTGATCCAGGGAGCGAGGGAGATCCTCACCCCCAAAGAGGCCAGGGTTTGGCAGGGCTGACCCAAGCTGACTAGGCAGAGAGGAGGGCCAGCTCCAATGACAGGATGGGGGCCAGGAAGCAGCATTTCTACCCTTCTCCTCTGGGGCAGGATTGTGGGGCAGGGTAAGAGCAAGGGAGCAAACTGGGCTTCCCATAGGAATTCCTGAGAGCCTCAATCCTAATAGTCCCTTACATTCCCAAGTACACACAGAATCCTACAGTGACATTGCAGGCTCCAGGAAGACACACCAGTGTCTGAACAGGCCCTTCAGGGGGCTCCTGGTGCTTCCAGGGGAACAGCCCCAAGGCAGTTGCCAGATGAGCCATCCCCTCCTGGAACTACAGTGTCAGCAGCATGTCTAGATGCCCCCCACAGCCCCCAACACAGACTGTTCTCCTGAGACTTCCATCCCTTGCAACTTACCTCCAAGCCCTTTCTGCTGGCCCCTAGAAGTCCTGGCCTCTCTCTGCCCCCAGCAGCCCCTCCTGCCCTGTAGATATCACAGCCCTAGCATTGGGTTTCCTTCCTGGGACCAGGCAACCCAGACTGCCCTCCCCCAGCCATTCCCAGGGCTGGCGGAGAGGGGCCTTCCCACACCCTCCCACTGCTGGCATCCTCTCCACAAACACTGCAGAGACCAGCAGCTTTTGCTCAGCGAAGAGGGGCAGGACTGTCTCCCTCCCTCTCCAGGCAATTTGCAAGGAACTTTGGGATGAGACAGAAGGAAATGGGCCTAGATTGCAGCAAGCAGGCAGGATTTTATGACATGTGGAAACAAACTGGGAGAGGTTTCTCCTGGGGTGATGCCAAGTCCTGATATTTCCCTACCTATGGCACATGCGTGTGTTTGGGCCAGAGACAGAGCAGGGGTCCGGGCCACCTGGAGGCCAATCATCTGGATTTGGGGGCAGCTTCTGGCTGTTTCCCTCCATGGCCCGAGTCACAGAAGCAGCAGGGTTTCCATAGAGGAAGGTTGCCAGGTTGAGGAGACTCAGCTTACCCATGAGGCCTCTCCACAGCTCATCCACCAGCCCCAAAACAGCCTGCCTGGCCCTCCTAGAGGTCAGACCTGGTGTAGGGGTGGCAGAGTAAGGGGAGGGTGGGCTGAACCCGGAGCCTGGAGGGCCTGGAGTAGGGCACTAGCTCAGGGACGGGGAGGGGGCCCTCAGGAGCTTTGCCTGCCTGCCGTGTCTCATTTAACTCAGCTCAGATGCCCACTGGGTGCCAGGCTGCCCACTGAAGCCCAGAGAGGGGCAGGGACTTGCCTGAGATGAAAGGACTGGGTGCAGCACTTGGGGCTTTACTTTAGCCCCAGGCTGCACCTTCAGCAGAGTGGATGGGGCCTCTGCCAGCACTGGCCCATCCAGAAAATGGGGTCATAATCTTTGCCTTCTCTCTCAAGAGTGGAGAATGTCATCCAGACACCTAGGCCCTGGCCAGGTGGGAGAGGCTTCTGGCAGAGAGGCAGGGATTACCTGTCCACTCTGTCCGCCTGCATTAACTGGGTACTTACTGTGTGCTGGGCGCTGTGCTAGTGCTTTCCACGCAGAGTCTCCACATTGACCCAGTGATGTAAGTGCATGTCCCATTCTGACCTTACAGGTAAGGAGGCCCTGGCCCAAGGCCACCCAGAAAGCCCCTCTCTGAGATCGCAGCCTGGTCACTCACCTGTGCCCAGTTACAGACAGACTATCCAGGAGCCAGGGGCCAGGCAGC